AGCTGGGACTACAGGTGCCAGCCAGAATGCCTGGCTATTTTTTTGTGGCAGGACGTAAAAGAACAGGACAATGGGAGTGCATCGTGTTTCTACACATATAGCTGGCACTAAGGAAGTATTTATAAAACAGTATGCATAGAGTCTATTTCTGATTTAAAACACCTCTACCTTGCTGCAGAACAAGCCATGCTGATGTCTTACGTACCTTCAGTGTTTGTACTAAGTTCTGTGGAATTTTCTTCTGCAGTTGCATATGGGTTGTTGCCAACCATTGGTATGAGACAATCGGTATAGAAGTAACCAATCTTAGGCATATTCAGTGTAGAAATAATCAGATCTATTGCAAGCTGGCCGACATTTCCAACAGAGACTGCTGGCTGAAATTATAAAAGGTATGTTCAAGAAATCACCAAAATTAGTAACATCTTAAAGAAGTCAATAATCATAATACTATTATAGTATTGAAAACTTATGTTCAGGTGTACCTGAAGTAGACGTGGACTTTTTTGGGTTTATTTTTGTGAGAATCTTACTCTGTTTCCCCAGCTTGAGTGCAGTGATATCATTACAGCTCATGGCAACCTCAGACTTCTGGGCTCAAGCAATGCTCCTGCCTTAGCCTCCTAAGTAGCTGGAACTACAGGTATCTACCACTACACTTGGCTAATTTGTTCTACTTTTTGTAGATACAGGGGTCTTGCTCTTGCTCAGGTGGTCTTGAACTCCTAGCCTCATGAGATCCTCTTGCCTTGGCCTCCCAAGGTGCTGGGGTTACAGGGGTGAGCCACTATGCTTGGCCAGATCAGATAGTGACTTTCATTAGCTATAACTGAGATGTTAGCTGGGGCCTCCTCCACCTTTTATTTAACAAATATTTACTGAACATCTACTATGTGTCAATCATGGCTGTAGGCACTGGGAATACAGTTACAGTAAAACAAACCAATGCAAGTTTTTGCCCTTGTGAAGCTTCCATTCTAGTGAGGGAGTGGTTTACCTGAATAAAAAATAAACATTAAAACACTATGGAGAAAACTGAGCGTGAGTGCGTGTATACGTGGTTAGTTAATATTTTAAATAAGGTGATCAAGGAAAGACTCATTTCAGGTTACAAATGACAATAGACTGAAAGAGATAAAAGAGAGAGCCATACAGAAATCTGGGAAAAGAATACTCTAGGGGGCAGTGGTTCTCAACCTGTGGGTCATGGCCCCTTATAACAATGAAAATACATCCTGCATATCAGATATTTACATTACGATTCATAACAGTAGCAAAATTACAGTTATGAAATAGCAACGAAAATAATTTTATGGCTGGGGGTCACCACAACATAAGGACTGTATTAAGGGGTCGTGGCATTAGGAAGGTTGAGAACCACTGCTCTAGAAAGTGGTAACCCGTACTAGGAGGTGTACACAAAAGCACTCCTGGGTTTTCTTTCCATGTGCCTTAGTGCCTCTTTCTCCAACTATTCCCAGTGGTTAAAGTGACCTATTCACACTAACCACACACATGTATCCTTGTGACTTTATTTTTTTATATTTAACTTTTTTTTTTAGAGGCAGAGGCTCACTTTATTGCCCTCCGTACAGTGCCATGGCGTCATAGCTCACAGCAACCTCCAACTCCTGGGCGTAGGCGATTCTCTTGCCTTAGCCTCCCCAATAGCTGGGACTACAGGTGCCAGCCAGAATGCATGGCTATTTTTTTGTGGCAGTTTGGCCGGGGCTGCGTTCGAACCCCCCACCCTCAGTATATGGTGCCAGCATCCTACCCACTGAGCCACAGGCCCCACCCAATCCTTACGACTTAGGTAGCCAAACTGCCAAATTTCTACCTACAGCCCAAAACCCAAATCTGAGCTCCAAAGCCTAATCGATCCCTCTACTTGGTTGGGTCACAGGCAACTCACATTCAACATGTACAAAACTAAACTTTTGCCCAAAGAAGTCCTCATATTTTACATTTAAGAGCAATATTATTCACACAGCTACCTAGAGATCATTCCCCCTTTCCCCTGCCAACTATATTTAATTAATGATTAATTTTTACTGATTCTATCCCAAAGTAGCGCTTTATTTATTTGGAGACAGAGTCTCCAGTTTGTCCCCCTGTGTAGAGAGCTGTGGTGTCATCGTCGCTCACAGCAACCTCAAACTCTTGGACTCAAGCAGTCCTCTTGCCTCAGCTTCCCAAGTAGCTGGAACTTGGCTAGTGTGTTCTATTTTTAGTAGAGATAGGGTCTCACTCTTGTTCAGGCTGGTCTCAAACTCCTGAAATCAAACAATCCACTTCCTTCAGACTCCCAGAGTGCTGGGATTATAGGCGTGAGCCACCACGCCTGGCCAAAGTAGCTCTTTAATGCAGCTCCTCCAGGAATTTTTTTAACCTTCATAGTATTTCTTCCGAGTACTGTCCCATTTTTCACTGTTGTCACCTCCTAGTTACTCCTTGCAATTCCCCTCTCCAAGATTTGCATCTTGGATTAGACTCTTTGGTACCATCCCTCTTTTCCTCACTATTGTATTCTTCCCATCAGCATATAAACATGTTTTAGAAGCTTTCATGTTAAAAACCCTTCCCAACCCTACTTAGTCCCCTAGCTGCTACCTCGCTTTTTGTGTTTCTGCATAGCCAAAATCTCCAAGAGTTGTCCATTAAAACATAAGCAGGGTATGATGCCTGTGGCTCAGTGAGTAGGGCACTGGCCCCATATACTGAGGGTGGTAGGTTCAAACCCAGCCCAGGCCAAACTGCAACAACAACAACAACAACAAAAACAGCCAGGTGTTGTGGCCAGCACCTGAAGCCCCAGCTACTCAGGAGGCTGAGGCAAGAGAATTGCCTAAACCCAAGAGCTGGAGGTTGCTGTGAGCTGTGATACCACAGCACTCTACCAAGGGCAACAAAGTGACACACTGTCCCTGAAGGAAAAAAAAAACACAACTCCTGGGTTTTATGGCTGGGGGTCACCAGCCACATACACTGGAACTGGCGGGTTTGAATCCAGCCCGGTTCCACAAAACAACGACAGCTGCAACCAAAAGATAGCCCAGCAATGTGGTTGGCACCTGTAGTCCCAGCTACTTGTGAGGCAGAGGCAGGAGAATCGCTTGAGCCCACGAGTTGGAGGTTGCCATGAGCTGTATAACACCACAGCACTCTACTGAGGGTGATAAAGTGAGACTCTGTCTCTACAAAACAAACAACAAAACAACAAAAAACAAAACATAAACAGGAACTTTAAGCCAATGAATGAATCATATATACACATCTCTACTTTCTCTTCTACCATTTATTCAACCCACTCCAATATGTCCCTCTTCACCACTCCAATGATAACTGTGACTACCATTAACCCACTTTCTTCATCTTACACACCTTTTGGCTACTTTCAAAGACAGCCACTCCCTTCTTCTTGAAACACTTTCTTCTCAGGTTTATGTGTTTCCTATTTTAAGAATAACATTTCTGTCTCTCCAGCCTTATACCACTCCAAACAGTGCATTCTCCAAAAGTGCCTTCTGGGTTCAACAGCCTGCTGCAGCCTGTTCTCTCAAATGCTCATCATCCTGAATTCTTTGCCGTCCCCAGGTCCCCCATGCGTACCTGCCTCTGTTTTAGACATGCATCTTTCTGAATTGTTCTACTTTCAGCTACCTCTACTTCACTTTCTTTCCATCTTTTAGACATTACTTTTTCTTTTTCTTTTTTTTTTTTTGAGACAGAGCCTCGAGCTGTCCCCCTGGGTAGAGTGCCGTGGCATTACAGCTCACAGCAACCTCCAACTCCTGGGCTCAAGCGAGTCTCCTGCCTCCGCCTCCCAAGTAGCTGGGACCACAGGCGCCCGCCACAACGCCCGGCTATTTTTTGATTGCAGCCGTCATTGTTGTATGGCAGGTCCGGGCTGGGGATTTGAACCCGCCACCTTAGGTGTACGTGGCTGGCGCCTTAGCCGGTTGAGCTATAGGCGCCGAGCCGACATTACTTTTTCTATGAAGCTTTTCCTAGCAGGCCCTTCTGTCCCTTCCCCTCCCAATTATCTCAGGGCCTTATGCTTTGCAAACGTCTATCCAAGCATTTATTGCTCTTATTGATTCACATGTATTTCCAACTAGACTGTAAATTCCTTGAGATGCACCTAGTCTTATTCTAACATCGGCACATAATAGAATATTGACTAAAACAGCTAATGAATATAGGCAACTATAAAATGATACAATTGCGTTAGGTACTAAAAAATTTTTTTCTATCCTCTATCAGTCTTTCTCTGATTAACAACAATGACGTACTAGCTTAACACTGACTCTAAAACTAATTGAAAAAATATTTTCTAAGATAAAAGTTAAAGATGTACAGTAAATCTGGAATCCTACGAACATACTACAAGCTACAAAGGCTACAGTCGCAAAACTGATACGTTTTAACCACAGCGCCGACAAAGGTTCTATTTGAACCGCCAACTCCAGACACAAACGGCCTACTCTTTTACACCAAGAATCTGAAACAGTAACAAGCGTCCTCCTCGTCCCAAGGCCCCGCGAAACACCCGAGGTGACACCGCAGCGGCCTCCCGGGAAGCAGCAGCTCCAAGCTCAAGCGAAGACTCACCATGAGGAGGGTGAAGCCCGTAAGGTCAGGGACCGAGTCCCCGCAGGGAACAAACATGGTCGCTGCAAGGTCGGAGAAAAAGGGATGCGCGTGGGCTTCGCAAAAACAAGAAGGGGCGGGGACGCAGGCACCCAATCTCGGAGCTGGATCCGCAAACCCGAGTCCCCGGGGCCTCGCGGGACGCTGACAGGGTCCTGCGAATGCCTCGGCGCCGGGTCCTATGGGGCTGTCAAGTTACCTGCCTGTCCAGCGGGAGGAAAGTGGCCTCTGGGAGGGTGGGGAGTGGCACAGCCAGCGCTTTCAGCGACCCTGGCAAGACAGGGCGATGGGGTGCGCTGAGGTCGCGGGGTGCAGGGCTGGTGGGAGCGTGGAACGCAGACGGAGATGATCAGGCAGTAGGGGGGACAGCCCCGGGCCCCGTTAGTTCGCCACCGTTTTAAAACAGTTAACACTGGCGCCGCTGCGGCTTTGGTTCCCGCCCAGCCCGGGGCCTGACGCGGCGTCGCGCCCCCCGGGAACCGCGCGAGGTGCGGGCTGCGCGGCTCTGGGCTCAGTCCGCTCCTAACGCTCCGGGGCCGGCGTCGCAGGCGGGCAGAAGCGTCAGGGAAGCGCCGCTGTCAGCATGTCGCTGCCCCCGGAGAAGGCCTCGGAGCTGAAGCAGCTCATCCACCAGCAGCTGAGCAAGGTGAGAGCGGCTGGGGCGCGGGGGTGCCCGCCCGCCGAGCCAGGTCCTCTTCTGCCCCAGCCTGGCCGCCCCTGGGCGGGCCGACCACAGCGTGTCCTTTGCTCTGGGACCCAGCGCGGGGAGGGCCCGTACGCGTCGGAGGTGATCGGACGGTGTGGGTGTGGGACACCTGTGAAAATGAAGCCTGGCCGAGGGTGAATTGTTTGGAGCTGGCTGATATTCTGAGATGAGGTGTCGGGGTTACTTCAAGCATAAGACATGTGGGTATCATTAAAGTAGAACCAGAAGCAGCAGTTCTCAAAGAAGTTATGAAGGATTTGTAACAAAAGCGTTTGGGGACCCCGGGGAGCTCGGCGGGAACCCGCAGTCTGGGCGCCCCGCTGGATGCGGTGTGCTGGAGTAACAAAAGCCCCCGTTGTGGCGCAGTCGGACGCCGCGTTTTGTTCTGGGTGTCTAGCGTCTCTTAGCTAATCCTCACGACGTTCCTGGGAGGGGCACTAGTTTTCCCATCTTATAAGGATGGAAACAGATCCAAAAAAGGTAAGTAAGTTAGCTCAGCTAGCTCGAGATTGCATATATACATGTAAGTTGTGAACTGACCAATTTATCGTTGGAGATAATATGAAAGTCGTATCATACTTTGATCTCCCCACGCCGGGTCTTTGTTCTTTTAATTATACTATATCATTTGTTTTGACTGACTCTTGTTTGTGGAGAAATGGTTAACAAAAGTAGGAGATAACTAGGAGAGATTATTTATAGAATTTGTCCTCAAAAAATTTCATCTTTTAAGAGCTTACCTTTTTTTTTTTTTTGAGACGGAGCCTCAAGCTGTCCCCCTGGGTAGAGTCTGTGGCATCACAGCTCACAGCAACCTCCAACTCCTGGGCTCAAGCGAGTCTCCTGCCTCAGCCTCCCAAGTAGCTGGGACCACAGGTGCCCACCACAACGCCCGGCTATTTTTTGGTTGCAGCCATCATTGTTGTTTGGCGGGCCCGGGCTGGGGATTCGAACCCGCCACCTTAGGTGTATGTGGCTTGGAGCCTTAAGAGCTAACCTTTATTCTTATTCAGTTGTGGTAACAATTGGTTTACTGTTAGCTTGGGAAGCCTGAAATTTGAGAAGCAGTGTTTGACTTTGTAATGTAAATTGTAATGCAAGTTTTCTACATAGATGGATGTCCATGGAAGAATAAGAGAAATCCTTGCTGAGACTATACGAGAAGAGTTGGCACCAGATCAACAACATTTATCAACAGAAGATTTGATCAAAGCCCTTAGACGTCGAGGAATCATTGATGATGTGATGAAAGAACTTAACTTTGTTACTGTGAGTAATCTGTTAGGAAAAAAAAAATTGGGAATTAGGGTGACGCCTGTGGCTCAGTGAGCAGGGCGCCAGCCCCATAAACCTAGGGTGGTGGGTTCAAACCTGGCCCCAGCCAAACTGTAACAAAAAATAGCCTGGCGTTCTGGTGAACGTCTATAGTTCTAGCTACTCGGGAGGCTGAGGCAAGAGAATCGCCTAAGTCCAAGAGTTGGTGGCTGCTGTAAGCTGTGATGCAACAGCACTCTACTCAGGGTGACAAAGTAAGACTCTGTCTCAAAAAAAAAAAAGAAAAGAAAAAAAAGGAAAAAAAAATTGAGAGTGTAAGTACTTGCTAATGCATAACACTTATAGGGTCCATATTTGGGGCCTCTCCTAGTAAAATCATTTTAAAATAAGGCCATTGTATCTAGTAATATCCTTGTTTCAATATAGGCTAGCTCTACCCTTGAGTATAAGCAAATAGTTTATGTATCAGTGAAATTCGCGTTATATACTATATTTCTCTCTCTATAGTGACAGACTTTTTTCTTGTTATTTTCCAGATCTGTGTAATTAAATTAATGCACCTTAACAAAGTTCTTTTTCACTAAGATTGTTTTATAATTTTTTAGACTAAGCTTAATTTTAAACTTAACACTCTTTGGGGACTATATTTTCTATGATTAACAAATTATAAGTTTGTTTAAGAAAATAGTTAACTGCATAAGAGCCCTCAAAACTTTTCATACAAATAGGTCAGTGCCTCTCAGTGCAGTTACTAAGTAGGACTTTTGAAAATGAGGCAATAATGAAAAACTATGACCTCGATACCTGGGTAATATAATGTAAAAATTAGACGGACTTGATAATACACCAGGGAGTAAGTATTTTAATACAGCAAGTTTTTTTAGTTTTTGAGGTTTGTGAACTAATTTGTTGTAAAAATTGACCTAGTAATGGCTTCTGCTTTGTGAATGTCACTTTCTTATTAAAATCAGTTCATAAGCCAAATGTTACGTAAGGTTTAGAGAAAGTTTAACCTTGTTTGAGGTGTTATGGGTGTTTTTAGCATTTTGTGGATGGCATTGTTTGAAGATAGTTTAATTCCTTTGTATTAGATTTTAGGAGTGACCAATTGTGTCATCTTTTATGCAGCCTTTTATTTTTACCATTTTTTTTTTTTTTTTTGTAGAGACAGAGTCTCAATTTATGGTCCTTGGTAGAGTGCTGTGGCATCACACAGCTCACAGTAACCTCCAACTCCTGGGCTTAGGCAATTCTCTTGCCTTAGCCTCCTGAGTAGCTGGGACTACAGGTGCCCACCACAACCCCTGGCTATTTTTTGTTGCAGTTTGGCTGGGGCTGGGTTTGAACCTGCCACCCTCAGTATATGGGGCCGGCGCCCTACCCACTGAACCACAGGCGCTACCCTATTTTTACTATTTTAATTATGCAAGGAAAATAAAGTTTGGGGGGGGCTTAAACTGTCTACTTTTGGTTTAGTGTTTAGGCCCATTATTGGCATTTTCTTACTTAGCTATAATTCTTCTTTTGATTCTTCAAATCAAATTTGTTTTGATTTTTTTTTTTTTTTTGCCTTTCTAGGATAATGTTGATCAAGAACTCCCTTCTTCTCCAAAACAACCTATTTGTTTTGATAGACAATCAACATTAAAAAAAAGTATGTATTTTTTTAAAGATTAATTTAGTTGTAGTTAGTAAAGAATGTTGATGTGCTGTAGTGTTTCGCATATGATAGAAAATATTTAGTTTTTTTCAAAATGTAATACTTAGATTTTTTTTTTTTGGTTAATTAGCCAAAATCTTATATTCTGTATTATATAAAGCATTAGAAGATTTAACATATAGCATAGTAAAGCAAAAACAAGAATACTTTTCTCATGTTTTAATAATATATTTCATAATAACTGTACAGCCTTGCTTTTTTAGTGGTAATATAATCTGACAAACTTGCTGAATTGATAATGGACTGAATTGGGTTGTGAAGATAAGGAAATGTTGGATAGCAAGTAAAAGCAAAGGTATACTAGACCTTGCTTGGGTCTGACACCTTTCTTGCTGGGAGAAAGTAGCCTGGATATAAACTCAGAAAACGATATTATATATCTATTCTTCCAAGGGTAGAAATGATCCTGGTACATATAGTAGTAAATTTGTTACTCTTTCTCTTTTTTTAGTCTTGGTTTTTTTTCTGTCAAGTTATTTCCTTATGTCTTGATCACATTCTTTAAGTTATTTGGCAGTTTCCTCATATGTATTGCTACACTTTACAGCTAATATTGATCCAACACGGAGGTATCTTTACCTTCAGGTTTTGGGTGGAAAAGCTTTCTTGGAACATCTACAAGAACCTGAGCCTTTACCAGGACAAGTCTGCTCCACATTCACTTTATGTTTACACTATCGAAACCAACGCTTTCGTTCTAAACCTGTTCCTTGTGCCTGTGAACCAGATTTTCGTGATGGCTTTTTACTTGAAGTACACAGAGAAAGCTTAGGTAAGAAACAATAATAAATTGTCTCACAACTGTAATCAACTTTTGCTGTAAGGAGAGACTTATAATGGATGTATCTCCTTAGTCCTTTGTTTTAATATTTTTCCCACTGCTCTTTTCAATTTAAACAACTACTCACCTTCTTGCTTTATTCTCTGCTTGCTTATTAATTTTCTCTGCAGATTTTTTTGGGACTGCTTGAAGTGTGGATTCTTTAGTAATAAACATTCAAATACCTATTGTGTATATAGTACTGTACTAGACAGGTGCTGTGTAGATAGTGGAGAATGAGACATAATACTTCTCATTTAGGGCTCGGCGCCTGTGGCTCAAGTGGCTAAGGCATCAGCCACATACACCTAAGGTGGCAGGTTCGAATCCAGCCCAGGCCCACCAAATAACAATGATGGCTGCAGCCAAAAAATAGCTGGGCATCGTGGTGGGCACCTGTAGTCCCAGCTACTTGGGAGGCGGAGGCAGGACACTCGCTTAAGCCCAGGAGTTGGAGGTTGCTGTGAGCTGTGATGCCATGGCACTCTACCCAGGGTGACAGCTTGAGGCTCTTTCTCAAAAAAAAAAAATACTTCTCATTTAGGAAGGATGGCAAGATCTATGTTATATGACTTTTATAAATCATAGTTTAGATGTGAATATATAACTTTCATAACTAAATTTTATGATACTTGATTCCTGTAATTGTTTTAAATTAATACAGTTTAATTAATACAGGTTTTTTTGTATTTTAGTTGTCAAGATTGAAATCTTTTTATTTGTTTACTATGCAAAGCTAAAGAAGTGTATCATCAGAATTTTAGATAATGATATAGCTAATATAGTACTAAAATTTATTATTTTTCCCCCTGGAAAATATTATCCTAATAAGGTAGTTAGTGGGATAAATTGCTAGATTCAATGTGTTAGGTTTTTTAGTTTTATTTAGATAATGTGATAAGTTCTGGAGGTTAAGGAATAAAGGTAGTTGGGGGATTAATGTTGATATATTTGAAGACTATTGTAGTAGTATATACTATACTTTAACTAAATACTTTTAAAGAATGGACTTTAGGTTGTGCACATAGTTCAATGGGTAGGGTGCTGGCCACTTGCTGGCAGGTTCGAACCCAGCCCGGGCCAGCTAAACAACAGTGACAACTGCAACAAAAAAAATAGCCAGGCATTGTGGCGGGCATCTATAGTCCTGGGTACTTTTGAGACTTAGGCATGAGAATCGCTTATGGCCAAGAGTTGGAGCTTGCTGTGAGCTGTGACGCCACAGCAGTGTACCAAGGGCTACATAGTGAGACTCTGTCTCAAAAAAAAAAAACAATAGTAAAAATAAATGGCTGCATAAAAGATGACACAATTGGTCACTCCTAAAATCTAATACAAAGGAATTAAACTGTCTTCAAACAGTGCCATCCACAAAATGCTAAAAACACCCATAGAAATAGAGCCATCTGTTTATCTCCAGTCTTCTGCAGCTTTCTGAGACATCACCAGATTGTTCTATTTTGTTTTACATAAGCTTGTTATTGAGTATACTTTTTAATAATTCTTTCATATTAGCCTAACTGAATATGTAGTGTGGTGTAATTTTCTTTGGTTTTGTTGATAGGTGATGGAACTAGAATGGCTGATTCAACAACAATGTTATCAATAAGTGATCCTATTCATATGGTGCTAATCAAAACAGACATATTTGGCGAGACTACTTTAGTAGCATCCTATTTTCTGGAGTGGCGATCAGTTTTGGGCTCAGAAAATGGAGTGACTAGTCTGACGGTGGAGCTTATGGGTGTAGGTATGATGATTAGTGTTACTGTTATCTTTTTCTAGCCAGTTTGTTTGTAAATACATTTTATATATCTTTCAAATGCCCTTATAAGCCAAGAGGGAAACACGTTATTCTGAAACAGTCATAATCTTGGGGAATGTTTTGAAGAACAATATCAGTGTAACATTTCACAGTTAATCTGGCTTTGTTTTAGGGAATTTTTTTTTTTTTTATATGAGTAAAAAGGCTAGGGTAATAGGTCACACCTATAATCCCAGCACTTTCGAAGGTTGAGGCAGGAGGATTGCTTGAACTTAGGAATTTGAGAACAGCCTGAGAAATAATATAGCAAGATCCATCTCTACAAAAAATTTAAAAATTACCTAGGTATGGTGGTGTGTAAATGTAGTCCCAGCTACTCAGGCGGGTGAGGTGGGAAGATGGCTTGAACCCCAGGAATCTGAAGCTGTAATGAGTTATGATGATGCCATTGTACTCTAGTCCAGGCAACAGAATGAGCCTCTATCCCAAAGAATAATAATAAAACGAATATAAAAAATTTTATGTTTTTCTTTTCTTGGAGACAGTCTCATTGTGTGCCCTGGGTAGAGTACCATGGCCTCACAGCTCACAGCAACCTCAAACTCCTGGGTTTCAATCAATCCTCTTGCCTCAGCGTCCCAAGTAGCTAGGACTACAGGCCAGTGCCACCCAGCTGGTGTTTCTATTTTTAGTAGAGATGGAGTCTTGCTCTTGCCCAGACTGGTCTTGAACTCCTGAGCTCAGGCAATCTACCCTCCTTGGTCTCTCAGAGGACTAGGATTATAGGTGTGAGCCACTGCGCTCAGCCAATTTTGAGAGTTGTTGCTATTCTCGGGGCTAACTGGTTGGTGACACAGAGGAAAGCACTGCAGACGAATAGTGTGACAGGGAGACTGAGGCTTGCTCCCGCACTCAGTAACTACCTATCATTATTGTTCCTCTTATATACTCTAAAACATCGGATAAAAGTTTAAAACATCAGGCTTGGCGCCTATAGCTCAACCGGCTAAGGCGCCAGCCACATACACCTAAGGTGGCGGGTTCAAAT